TTATATTTCTTTAAGAGTTCAAAATGTGTTAATTACATAAATAAAATGTAATTTTCTCTGTAGCACTTCATGGATTTCATAAGCAACACACCTTAGTTGCTCTGTGGATTCTTTTAAAAATCAGTTAAAAACTTTTCTGTTCAAACAAGCCTTTTGTTGATCTACGTATTTTATATTCTTTACATTATTTACATTTGATCTTTTACATTGTGTATAATGTCTATTGATTGTATTGTTTATTTTAATATTTGTGTACAGCGCTTTGTGACTGCCTGTCTGTGAAAAGCCCTTGATAAATAAACTTTACTTACTTACTTTAGTTGTTCACACAAAGCATAAAGGTAAAAACCACAATATATACAGTGTTATCTTCATTTTAGATTTCAAAAAGTATTTGCTGCTCCTAGTGTTTTCTTTTGCGTGGAAACCGGGTCCAAGTGGCTCTTTGGGTGTTAAAGGTTGCAGACCCCTGCCCTAACTGAAATGAAGGAATCTTGGTTCATATCAAATCAGCGTATATATATCAAAGCTCATCTTGTACAGGGCTTGGTGCCCAATCTCGGGTTAACTTGTCGTCCTGGCTCCCCCTTGCCGTAGCATGTATGTTGTAGCTTGTCAATCTGTAGCTAGTCTCTAGCTCATTATCTTATTCCAAATGTTGGAACACTGCAGCTACAATCACTGTTTTGCTGTCAATATGGATGAAAATTCCATCATCCTATTCATGTAGCAGCTCGCTATTTTTGTTTCTTGCCCACTGAGTCTCTGGTTCCTCAACACCTGACGTAGACCTTATTAGAGTTCTCTCTCTGTGTTAAGCTTGGTTAGCAAAGACCTTTACTAGATACAAACACTACATGTGAGAATCAAACCTGCAACTCCTATTCCAAAGGGATGGAGTCTTACCGCTACACTGTCCAGCTGCTTTTGTTTCTGTTTATTCATATATACAGATAGATAGAGATATATATATTGTAACAGGGAGAGTGTATGAAATAATATCTGCCTAAAGAAAATGACATATGTTACATTAAAAATAGAAAAGATGTGTGATAAAGGTACGCCTAGCCTGCCTCCAAACAGCTGAGAAAAAGGGAAGGCAAAATTGACACAACACATAGACAAGAGAGCATAGTAGTGTAGAGACTAGAGTAGTGGTTAGACTACACGTCTTTAGAGCAGAGGATCGCAAGTTTGATTCCCACCTGGAGTGTCTGTATCCAATAAGGGTCCCTAGGCTAGACTAGAACTCCCCCCTGCTAAGCGATCAACAAGGTCTGTGTCAGGTGTTGTGGAACCAGGGCACCCTGACAAGAAGGGAGGTACAAATTAAGTGCTACGTCAAGGGGGCGCCAGGTCAGGGGGAGTTATCGTCACCCCCATATTAGGTCTGCTAGATGTTAATGCAGCACTGTGGAAAATATCTGCAGCCACCATTATCGAGACTAACTACAATAGGGCAGCAGTAATCAGTGAGATTCTTGGCTGAAAGGGCAGGAGGCTAAGATCAGGGTAGCATGGAGGGAGGTTGCAGAAGTACAAGAACCTGTCCATACCTGCCAAGCAACAACTACACCAGAGAGATCAAAGGCAGGAGAATAAACCAGCTGTTCTCCACAGAACCAAGGTATTCTGTGGAGAATGATGTGGATCCAGTAACCATCACAGTGGCAGACAGCCAACATGACTTTTAGCCTGTGCCCTGGAAAAAAAGAAGGACAGTGTGATGGTTACTGGCGGTATCGTTCCATCAATCTCTCTGGTGTAGTTGTCGCTTGGCATATCTCAGGTATGGTTCCTGTACTTCTGCAACCTCCCTATCTAGCCTAAGATACAGACACTCCAGGTGGGAATCAAACTTGTGATCTTCTGTGCCAAAGACGTGTGGTCTAACCACTACTCTAGTCTCTACACTACTATACTCT